ACACACAGCCTCCCAGAGCTCTCCGCCGCCCTCACCGTCTTCCGCGGCATCCTCGACGGCCATTGATATGCACAGCAGCGTCCGCGCCAGCGCTTGCGGCGCTTGGCGCAGCGTGGGATCCTGCGTGGCGCTTGCCGTGCAGACCAGCTCCAAAATGTACACAGGTTGCAGAGACCCCTCACCTCCATCTAGGCCAGGCGACAAAACCGCACTCAGCATCGGCCCGGCACGCAGCAGAGCGCTGGCCAACGCCGCCCTGGCATTGACGCTCCTTGCCGCCTGCAGAGCGCGCGCTCTCGCCACTGTGGCAGCTGGCCCACGCACAGCAAGCTCCGACCGCAGGTGGGCGGTAGAGGCTGCTGTGGCCAGCTCCGGCAACACGTCGTGCACATTGGCTCCCGCTGAGTTCACATAGTTGAAGGAAAAATGTTCCTGTCAGGGTAGAGGGTGGTGGGGCGGGGAGAAGGAGGTGGAGGGCTCGGGGGCGGCGGGGATGGTGGACTGGGCGTGGAAGGAGGTGGGGGCCTTGACGGCGACGGGGACGGTGGTGGACTGGGCGGGGAAGGATGTGCGGGGCTTGGGGGAGATGGAAATGGTGGTGGACTCGGCGGAGAAGGAGGTGGAGGGCTTGGGGGTGATGGGGCCGGCAGACTAGGTGGGAAAGGGGGGAGGATTGCGTGGAGGAGGGGGGTGCATTCTTGGAGGTGGTGGCGACGCCCCGGGTGAGGGACTGGTGATCATTGGGCTGCGTGGAGCTGGAGGGGACGGTGATGGTGGTGGCAGGGGTGCATCTACGATGGGGACAGATGGCGACGCCACCGTTTGTTTTGTGCTTGGGTCGAGGGCGGCTGCAGTCACTGTGCCTTTAGCTTTGGTCGAGGCCAAGGTGGTTGTGTTCACGGTGGTGAAACTTGTGGGTGTCAGGGTCAGAGTCCTACTTGGTCCAAACGCAAAGGCAAATACCAACGTCAGCAAGGAGGGAATGGCAGTGGTCGTCACACTGGATGTGCAGATGACAGATGAGGACGTCAGGGTGTCGCACACCATGAAGTTGACGATGATCCTGAATGCACTGGGTGGTGGGGGAGGGCGACTTTGCCTTCTGGGGCGGGGGCGAGCTGGCCTTTGGGGGAGGGAAGGACCGGGTCTTTGGGGTGGGGGCGAACTGTTCTTCTTGGGCGGCGGAGACCTGGTTTTGGGCGGAGGGGACGACCTCTTCCTGGGTGGTGGAGGGGACCGCTTCTTGA